ACATCAATTACTCAATCATGATGATTATTCTTCCACACGAGATCAATTCATTGTATTAGTGTTGTGTGGTTATTATACTCATATTCCTCTTATTTACACTATACGACCAACTGTCCGTGCGACCAATTGTCCATGCGACCAACTGTCCTGCGACCAACTGCCCGCGCGCAACTGTCCGGCGACCAAATGTCCTGCGACCAACTGTTCTAAACCCATCTTGATATGCTTCATTCAGAGGCCTTCAAATTAATCATGAATCATCGTCACATGTGACCGTGACAAAAAAAACGATGGTCACGTAGGTCTCTATTGACTGGGCATCTTCCCGGTAAATGATCACATGATTTTCCAATAGCTTCTTGTTAGTGGCTTCAAAATACTTTCGAAATGATTCTATATAGTGAACTTCTTTTAAAGATGAAAGTCAAAAAGCGACTTCTCTATTTATGATTCATCAAGTCGTTAAGCTAAATCTGGTATTCATTTGTTTTAAAAGCATCGGTTGTCTTTATATGACTAATAAACGCAATCGATGTGCATTTAGAACGTTTCAAGATTCAAAATGATTTGTATTCCCCCTAAGGGTCATTTGCACGAGCGAGATGATAATTTCACCGTCGTTTAGACTCTACTGTGAATTACATTAGTTTCATTCATAAAATTAAGATAATATCATTACAATCCCTTCGGAATAAAAATATGAAACAGGATGAAGCATTGCAAAATATTTTTCTGCATGCAAAAATGAATTTTTCAGAGCATGTGTCATCTATATAATCTCAACAACAAGTGATAATTACATGTTTTCGATTTATTTCATTAAAACTTGCAAATGTAATACTCATTCTACCTAATTACTTTTCAATACAAAACTTTTTCGATTTCCAGAAGAGAAGATTCAATACTTCTTATTCCATAAAAGTAGATTTAGTAAATAATAGAAAACGAATTTTTGACTGCTGTACAAAATAATGAACTAAAACTGATTATACTTTTTTTATTAAGAATACGTTAAAATGCTTCTAGTTTCATTCGATGATAATCTGATGTTTAGTCATTAATTTGGATTTTTTTTAATTCTTCCTAATCGATAAGAAATATATGGAAAAAATCCATAGATAAGTCTAAAATACGATTATAGTCGGATTTATACCGATTTATTGACAGTTCTATTTTTATATCTATATCTCTATAATAAAACATTGATCATGTAAAATAAGTCCAAGACCAAAAAGATCAACTTGAGGAAAAGTATCAAGAAAAAAATCACCACTTTGAAAACGAATACGATTACGAATATCTGACGATGTTTCATTAATATATCGAATGGTATGTTTTTCTATACGAGGAAGATCAAAAATAATTGCTTGTAAATTTAAATTTGCTTTACAAGCAGCAACAGCTAAACATCCAGTACCACCACCCATATCACAAAATGTTTTAAATTGTTGAAAATTTTCAATAGATGAAATAATATTTGGAAAACAAGTTAAACCTAATCCATGCATCCCTGACATAAATATCATTTCAGCATTATCATCACGATAATATGTATTAAATGTAAATTCATTTTCATTTATTGTTTAAGTATTTGTTGCCATTGTGGAGTATTTTCTTGTATTGCATTTCGAAGTTTACACCAAAGTAAATAAGATGATTGATTATTATGATCAATATATCCATTAAGTGTTACTGGACTTGTTGAAACAAGATATTTATCACTTAATTGTGTATTAGAATATTTCTTATTTATTTTATCTTGTTGAATTAATTTAAGAGAAATACAAGCATTTAAAAATCGTTCTAATGATGATAAATGAGATAGGTTAAGTTTATTTGCTAATTCTTCTAATGAAAGTTCTTGTGTTGTTAAATGATCAAATAATTTAAAACTAACAGCAGTAAATAATGTTTGTGAACAACGATATCCATAGATTAAAGAAAATATATGATTTGAATCAGCATCTTCTTTATTAGTTACAGAACTCTAAAATTAAATTGAAACAATTTTAAACGATTAAATATTTTTTGATATATTAATGCTTTATTTAGAAATAAATATCAATGATTTGGATATTTTTACTTATGAACAACTATAGGTTTTCATTATTCATTTGATTACAACTCATTCAATTCAAATATGTAGATCCGATGAATTATCGACGTAGTTAATAAATGTTTTAACGGCTTATAGGAAAGAAGACTCTTACTAAAACATGTCTATAATATATTCAATACACAATATTACATATTGATTTTCAAGGAAAGTCTATGAGAGACCAAAACACATACAAGGAAAAATGTCGCTCTCTAGAGTACAGTTTTTTAACTAAAAAAAGAATCTAAACATAAATTTAAGAAGACAACGGAGTACCCGCACGATTGTCTCGCTATGCTCCACGTGATTCCCCTCTACCTTCATGGTAGTTTCGTACTTCCACTGTACTTGAGACATTATGCGAGTACGTCGTTTTTCCTTTGATCGAATAGAAAAATTTCAATTTCAATTATATTGAGTTAGAAAAAAATATTATATAATATTTTTGCAAACTATCCAGTTTTTTTTAATGCTTCTTTCTAATAATGACAGTTGTCTAGCAACTGTACTAGAATCAACGTACTTGCATGTATCAAAGAATATTGTACACGATACAAAACCAAGTATAAGTCCGTATTCGTTCAGATTTTCACTATTTGATATTGCAGGAAAATCGAAAGTTTTTCAACAGAGAGTCGTTTGCTGCCTGCTACCATTATATAGTACTTGAAAATGAATATCATTGTTCATTAATGAACGCTTTATGATAGATATTGAGTGTGATACGAATAACGAAGATAATATACGAGAACGTTCTGTGAAAGGTCAACCACTTAATGAAAGTGCATCCAAGTTTGACATAATTATCATGAGAAGCAAATACAATAGGCTACTAACATAAACATACATTAGAGAATAAAAAAGTCAAGAAATGAAAAAAATAACTACTAATCTTTGCTAGTGATCATGTCATATGCAAATCAATCAAACTTTTCTACGACTGTGTTGCTATATAATCAAGAACGAAGTTATTATAAATCGAATATGCTAGAAAGATTTTGATTCGGTGTCGATCTCTGAAGTCTTTCATTATCTATTACAGGTTAAGACTTCTCGCTCTCAAAAATCAGTTTTTAATACGGTACATGGAATCGTCATGAAACTTTCTGCATGTTTTGCACATATAAAAATGAAGTTAAGAAACGTTTTTTATACTCTTGAATCTTAACATTCAAGAGTTTTCTGTACATTAAAATCTACAAAGAATCTTGGACGCATTCAAATATTTGTTTTCTATATTTCAGATACTTCTAGAATCTCTAATCATTACCTGAGAGTTTTCTACAAAATTACAGTCTAATTAAAAAAACTTCTTGTTTTCATCTGAAGGAATATTAAGTTCTCCAATAAATAGAATGAAAAATTGAAGCTTTCCAGAAAAACGAAATTATGCATTTCATCTACCTATTATTGAAGATAATGTGAAATATATGACGATTATAATAAATTAACCATTAAAGTTACTCAAAGCGCATTGAACTATCCCTACTATCGAGACTTACAATTAATAGCAAATAAATTCGCTTAGGAATATTATCATGGAGGATTTCAGAAACTTGTAGTATATCTCTTCGGAACCTTTCACAATTGAAAAAGTTTTTTTTTTAATGAATATTTAAGGTAGACGCTTTATGCTGCATAACAGTTCTTCCTTTCTGATCGAAAGTTTTTTACATTTTTCTGTTCTATATACATTTCGAAGCATTCAGTAACATAATTTATAAAAGTCAAAAAATTAGTTCTTTCACAAAAAATAAATAAAAGATCGCTTCCATTTTTCAATCACAGTATATCTGATTGAGCAAGGTTTTGAGTTAAGAAAAAATATGTTTTTCTGACGATGCCCTCAAGTTCTGGATGCTTTTATTCGAACGGAAATGAATAAAAAAATGTAAAAAACTTTCGATCAGAAAGG